CAACATCCACACAATGATGCCTTGATGATAATGCTGAAGATTAACTAGTGCCGGGTAAGGCGCATACTGATTGATCAAGGCAGTTCGTGTGATATCATGTATGTTAGATGTTACAAGGAGCTTGGCCTTTACTCAAATGATCTGGAACAATCCAACAGCCTGATGGTTGGATTCAACGGAACGCCGATGTGACCTCTAGGAGCCACGAATTTGGAGGTACAGGCAGGCACGAAGAAGGTAAGCACGGAGTTTACAGTAATTAACACTCCTTTCCCTTACAATGTTATCTTGGAAAGACCGAGATTGCATGTAATGAGGGTTGTTCCCTCAATGCTGCACCAACTATTGCAATTCCCAACGAAGCATGGAATTGAGGAGGTCAGAGGAGACCAGGTGCAGGCAAAATATTGCTCCATGGCAGCAATAAAATCCACCTGCAACGTGCAAGAGGTAGAAACAGTAGAAATTAAAGATGAGGACATAGAGGTCCTGGATGACGTCGACAAAGAGTCGGCCGACAAGAGTGAGGAAGCCTTGAAGCAGATTCTAGTAAAAGTAGATGGTGAAGAGCGCTTCTTCTTCCTCGACTCAGGTTTAGCCGAGGAGGAGAAACGGGAGTTGGAGGTTTCTTACGAGCAAACATAGAAGTGTTTTCCTGGATACCATATGAGATGCCTGGCATTGACCTCAAGATCATTTACCATAGACTCGATGTAGACAGGTCAACTAAACCTATCATTCAGCGGGCAAGGAGGCCGACGTTGATTTATGTAGAAGGAGTAGAGGATGAAGTGGACAAGCTGTTAGAAGCCAAGGCTATTCAGGAAGTGAACTACCCAACCTAGCTGTCCAACATAGTAGTTGTGAAAAAAAGAATGAAAAGTGGAGGGTCTGTGTGGACTTCACCAGCCTGAATAAGGCTTGTCCTAAAAACAATTTCCCTCTCCCCAAAATTGATCAGCTGGTAGATGCCATTTCAAGGCATAGAAGGATGAGCTTCCTAGATGCTTACAAGTGATACCACCAGATAGCAAGGTATCCCTCTGACGAGGAGAAGACCACATTCATCACCCCAAAAGGGTTGTACTACTACAAAATGATGCCTTTCAGGTTGAAAAATGCAGGAGCAACCTACCAAAGGTTAGTGACCAAGATGTTCAGACATATGATTGGTAAGACAGTAGAAGTGTACATTGATGACATGGTCGTGAAGACCAAAGAACCTGGAAATCATCCAGCCGACTTGAAGGCAGTTTTTGATATCCTAAGAACACATCAGCTCCGACTCAATACTTTGAAATGTGCGTTTGGAGTCAGATCTGGTAAGTTCCTAGGATACTTGGTTACCAGAAGGGGCATTGAGGCAAGCCTAGATCAAATCAAGGCCATTTTTGACTTAAAGAGCCTGACATCAGCCAAGCAGGTCTAGATTTTGATCGGCAAGGCAGCAGCCTTGAACAGGTTCATTAGCTGAAGCTCAGAACAATTTTTTTGTTTGTTAAAGAAAGCCACAGATTTTTTGTGGACAAAAGAGTGAGAAATTGCCTTGGCCGACTTAAAAAAGTACTTGAAAATAGCTCCAGTCTTGTCGAATCAAGTACCTGGAGAAGAATTGTTCCTATACTTGGCAATTTTAGAACACGCAGTAAGCACGATAGTAATCCGTGAAGAGGAAGGAGAACAAACGGCAGTATATTATGTAAGTAAGACCTTAGCAGATATAGAAACCAGGTACCTGCCCTTAGAGAAATTGACACTAGCCCTGGTGATGGTTTCAAAAAAACTGAATCGCTACTTCTAAGCCCACAAGATTGTGGTGCTAACTGAGCATCCTTTGAAGTCCTAGTTATAGCAAGGAGATCTGACAAGTAGGGTGGCCAAATGGGCAATAGTGTTGGGCCAATATGACTTGGAGTTTAGGCACAGAACAGCAATTAAAGGCCAAGTTCTGGCCAACTTTGTGGCCGAGTTCACCCTTGGCGCCATCTTGCTTTGGACTCTGGTAAGCCACAGCTTGGGATGCCCAGGGAAGCCGGAAGAAACCCAACTGGGGCCCAATAATCCCACTCTAGCAAAACAGAAGAAAGAAGAGAAACCAAAGCCTTACTACATCTACATCGGCGACTCCTTCCGCCTATTTGTTGAGGAAGTTCAAACCGTCAAGGAACGGAGGTAGGAGAAGTGTTAGTGTCGCCAGAAGGGCGAATGTTGGAGAAATCTATTTGTTTGGGATTCAAGGCCTTAAATAAGCAGAGTACGAGGCACTGATTGCAGGTTTGAAGTTAGCAGTAACAATGGAAGCCGATGAGGTTGTAGTCTTCTACGACTCCCAACTTATTGTGAATCAGGCAACGAGCGAGTATGCAGCCCGAAATGAATGAATGATAGCCTATGTCAAAGAGGTTCTCAAACTACTAGCATTGTTCTAGAATTGCCGACTGCAGTAGGTTAGCCAATAAAATAATAATCATGTCGATGCCTTGGCTAACTTGGCTAGTGTAATGAAATTAGGAAAAGTAAGAACAATAATGGTTGATTATTTGTCAGGCCCAATTGTAAAACCACTGATCACAGAATACGAAGCAATGTGTGTGAAGATGGGTTCAAGCTGGATGGATGTAATAGTAATGTTTTTAAGGGATTGCAAGTGTCTGAATGATTGAAGAGAGGCTCATAAGACTAGATTGAAGTCGGCCAGGTTCTGTTTGTCAGCAGATGGCCATATCTACAGAAGATCCTTCACTGGGCCCCTTTTAAGACGTGTACATCCATCCCAGGTTGAGGATTTCTTGTATGAAATACATAAAGGAGTATGTGGAAGCCATGCTGGGAGTCACTTGCCCATAGAGCCATAACCTAGGGATACTGGTGGCCTTACATGCAAAAAGATGCTGAAGCATATGTCAAAAAGTGTGAGAAGTGTCAAAGGTTCGCACTTTTACCAACAGCAGATCTGAACCCAGTGTCCAGCCCTTGGCCATTTGCCCAATGGGGCATGGACCTAGTGGGACCACTACCACAGGCAACCGAACAAAGAAGGTTCTTTTTAGTAGCCACAGACTACTTTACAAAATGGGTAGAGGCTGAACCCCTCGCAAAGATTCGAGATATCGATGTGAAGAACGTCATTTGAAAAAACATAATAACTAGATTCGGGATCTCGAGGGCCATTATAGCAGACAATGGCACTCAGTTTGACAGTAAGTTGATTAAGAGCTTCTTTGCCAAGTACAAAATTAAGAATTATTATTTTACTCCTAGTTTCCTCCAGAATAATTGTCATGACCCGAACCCGCCCCTATAGATTAAGGTCATAACCGGCCAGTAATCATGAGATTGCTTACAGCCTCAAACCTGATTAAACATGATTCGATAGAAATAAATGGGCCAAAACGGAAGCAGACTTGAAAATTTTTCCCAAAAAGTTGCACTTACATGGCATATCAAAACATCTCACATATATTTATTAATAACTCACACTGAAAAACAAACTTAGAATCTTGTACATACAAGATCATTCAAACTCATAGTCAGCCAAACCAAAAGTTTATATGCATAAGTGATCCAACGGAACCACCAAGATAGTAAGGTGCAAAACAGAAGGACAAGTACAAGAAACAAAGTCTAGTGTGTGAGATGTTCAGGCTGACACCACAAAACTTGACTTCCTCTCACACCCTTCATTGAGGCTGGGTTTGGACATCTCTTTGCTCACAGTGTTCTGCCGATGGATTTGCCCTTGCGCTTGACCCTAGAAGCTCCAATCTTCCAAATTCTAGCTAGGTCTTGTGCTAATCCACCTAGCTCTTGAATTTCCTTTCAAAACCTTCAAGGACGAGTCCTCTCTCTGTCTAAATATGGTTCTCTCTCTCTCTCTCTAAAGTGTGTATTTCGGATCTTGAGCTCAAAAAAATGAGCTTAAGTGTAAAGAGACCCATATATATAGGCTTGCCTAATCAAATTTGATTAAGGCTAAGTAATTGTGCTTAATTTAATCAACTCATTGTTTTGTGGCTGTTGCCCGTGATTTTTTTTATCATAATTGGAGGTGTCCAATTGTGGTTTTTCCACGTAAAATCGTTGTGTCGATTTTTCTTGATTGTTTGATTGGGATTGTTATATACTACTTAAAATTGATACATAATCACAAATCAACATCTAGGGGATTTCTAGATTTTTTCAATACCATTAAAATCAGGTAGTGATTGAACACATTGTGCTATAATCTAACAATAATCGAATAAACACAAAAGATGAAAAGAGTTTGTAAAGAACAAGTTTTCATAAACAAAAATTAGGCTGTAGATTCAAAACCGAGAAACGGTTTCGAGTTCCGTCTTCTCCTACAAGTCATTTGTTTCTAGTTAGTTGTATGTGTCAAGTTTCGTTGACATTCGATGCCGTTTGACTATTTTAGTGAACAAGTTTTCATAAACAAAAATTAGGCTCTGGATTCAAAACTGGGAATCGGTTTCGAGTCCCATCTTCTCCTACAAGTCATGTGTGCCTAGTATGTTGTGCTTGTCAAGTTTCGTTGACATCCAAGCCTGTTTGAGCATTTTAGTGTGTTAACCAGTTCAAAAAAGAGTTTGTAAGGAATAAGTTTTCATAAACGGAAATTAGACTCTGGATTCAAAACCGGAAATAGGTTTCAAGTCCTGTCTTCTCCTGCAAGTCACTTGTGCCTAGTTAGTCGTGTGTGTCATGTTTCGTTGACATCCGATGCCGTTTGAGCATTTTAGTATATCAAACAGATAAAAAAAGAGTTTGTAAAGAACAAGTTTTCATAAACGGAAATTAGGCTCTACATTCAAAATTGGGTATCGGTTTTGAGTCCCGTCTTCTCCTACAAGTCGCGTGTGCCTTGTAAGCAAGTTACACTAAATATTCAAACACAAATTTCCAAAAGACATATATATAATTATAAGAAGCCCTAAAAAACTGACACTAAACCGGACCTTAATGAGGATTTCAAAGACTTCGTATGAGTGGGTAAGTTGCACAAATATTGGGACAAGCCTCATTGCCTAGGCTCAAGTAAGCACTTTCATAACAATCCCATGAACATATTCATCTTACTAGTGGTTTAGAAGGCATATATAATAAATAATAAAAATACATACAATTACCAACCTTTAGAGGCATAGGAAGTGGCAAAGTAGCTCCTTGGCAAAGACTGTTTGCCCACTGCAACGACGACAAAGGGGAAAAAAACTAGAGTCCATAAAAAGGGGGAAAAGAAACGTCGAGTTAAATGTTGTTTGATCTATATAGAAGAATCCTTTAGTTATCAACAATCCCAGGTTTGAAAGAGGAGAGCCACCTGGTGAATAATATGTCAGGGTTCATGTTTTCAGTAGCACCTTAGATGATACATCTTAAGTAGCACATAATGCACTACTTTTTCATTATTCCTTCTATTATAATCAGATGATAGAATTGAATTCACATCATCTTCTTTATTGAGTCCACAACTTAGAATCCAGCTACCATGAGAATTGAATTGCGTAACTATATAGTTCACTTTTCAGACTAATCCAATTTTTAGGCTGCTCACCAAATCTTTCCTTGGAATCGAGGGAACTGTCAAGTAGATCCAATCAAGTATAATAAATATACACTACAAGAAAAATATGATTTGGTGGCATTTTCCAGCAAAAAGTGTGACAAAAGTAATTTACTAGCATGTTTTAAAACATGCCACTCAACCATTATATATTTTTCAGTAATATTTGGTATCTTGAATTTGTGGAGGGATTTGTAAAAAAGAGAAGAATTGGAAACTCTGTTCCCTTTCTTTTTCTTCTCTCTTTGTAAACCTCTACAAATCCAAAATATAAACACAACCTCAATGGAATTTCACTTAAGATGCCACAAGAAAAAAGTTGTTTCTTTTTTGGGAGAAATTATTTTTTTCTAAATCTGCTTCCCTCCCATTGAAACCCTCATTTTCATCCTCCCCATCTCCTTTCTCTCAATCTCACTCTCATCACACAAGATAACAAATTTTATTGTGAACTGAGAGGAAATATAATTAAGAATAAAGGTTCCATTTATTTACAAGTCAGAAAAGTCATTGAACAGAGGAATGATTTATTGTATGTGGTCATTCTAATATCATTTCTACAATTTAGACTCTTACTTTCCGTATAAAGTAGTAACCCAACACAAATTCAACAATTAAGGCAATAATACTCAATAAAAAAGAAAAGAAGAAGAAGAAGAAGAAGATTAAGCTAGTTGGCTTGGACGATGAAGATAATCATTACCAATAAAAGCAACATGTTTAAGAAAGTTTAATACCTTTAAATTCAATATCCTAAAGTTCGGGTTGTTTTGAGATTAATCAAAAGTTCATGGTGCAAGTCCCCCATTTGCCATTTGATTCTTAATGAAAACTTTTTTTAATTGTAATTAAACCTCCATTCAAGAAGAAAGAAACAAGTAACATACAAAGTACAAAGAAGATAACCAACTCTTATTGAAACTATCCACAGGGAGTTCTATTAATAGTTCTCACATACACTTGGGCTTAGTAGCACGGGGTTGGATAATTGACACAAACAACAGATAAAAGGGCACAATATTGTGAAACAACATGGATTAACAGATGTTGAGAGTGAAGCAGGTATTCAAATTTGTTGAGGTTTGACTGTATTGAGTCAAAAACAGTTCCCACATCAGGGTTTTGACTATAGTGAGTCAAGGACAGTTCCCATTACATCGGAACACCTCACATTATCATTTTCAACTGTGTCCAATGAATAGAGAGTGGGCAGCGATAAGGTTGCTCCATTGCAACCTACCATCCAAGCTTTCCTTTAAATTAATCCTTTTTCATTATTTTTATGATTTATAGGTGTTAGTGTTACAGTTATACATATAAAATTAAAAAAAATTTGCCATGTCAAGTTCTGTATTTTCTGAAAATCTTCGAGCCGTGTTGCATTCACGTCTCATGTCTGTATTTGTGTTTTTTAGATTTTTTATATTCTAGTTAAACAACACATCAGGCAATCTATAATTCCTAGTTCCCCAAAGTTAATGTCAAACATCAAACCAACAAAATCTCTAAATACTTTGGCCCACAACAGTAGTTTAACTAGGTTCAAATACCATACCTTCATGAAAAAGGAAAAGAAGAACCCTAATAATGTTGACTGGTAAGAAACAAAATATACTTCTTTTGAATGACTAAACCACCATATCACGAAACACATAAATTGGAGATAAAAGTTATAAGCCATGTATGTCTTCCGAACTCCAGAAAACTGTATACCACATCTAAGCATCAATTTAATCAACTCTTAACAACAAAACATTTTCATTCTAGATGAGATTTACTAGTACTATGAGAGCAGGTCTATATTAACTCAATTATCAAGGCAACATTAGGTAAACTAAGGTCTCTGAAAATATAAATGAACCATGACTAGCAAATGCTTCAGAAAAGTATATCTTATGGCAATCCCTTCAAGAAAAAGACAAAAAAGCTATGTTGCATGACGGATTTATTTATAAGTTCCTCCAAGTCAATAAACTTACGTTTTCAAGTCCAGAGATGTCAATTCCTCAATAGGAGTCAACCTTTTCTCTGAGGATCCTGCAAATGAAGAGAAAAGACCAACTTCTTAAACTACTGCCACTCTTACAATTTTTCACATATTATGGCCCATAATAAGGTAAAGAAGTTGCATATACCACCAAAGGAAAAAGTCAGACTTTCAGATAGGAATTTGAGCCCAAAAAAAAAAAAAATTTGTGAGGGGGAAAAGGAGTTGACTTAATATATGAAGATAGTTTGCCTAACATAGTGCAGTGCTGAAACAATAGAATCCAAAGAAGTATAGAACCATAAGCATCAAGTGATCAATAGGAAGATAATATAAAAAATTATTGCATTAAATATCTACATCACCGAGTAATTTCCAGATAAAGGAAAGTGCATTTTGACAACAGAGTGAAGAATAGTTAAGGAAAATACAAACTGAATTAAAAAGACAACTTTTACTTTTCTTTTCTTTTTTTCCCAATTTAAGTGAGCCAAAAGTTCATAAATTTCATAAAAACTGTTGAATTCACCCCATGTGAAGGAGGTGATGCTCTTCCATGGGAACACACCTTGGTCAACAATGGAAGGCCACCAACCATCTTGAAGAGTCAAGGTTGGAGGCTGCCCAAAGGCTCTCCCACCTACTCCCTCACCTATAAATGGAGGTTGAGAGGAGAGAGCAAAACGTGAGTAAGTGAGCAAACCGTGAGACAACAAAGAGAGTGAGAGATGTGAGGCGGAGAGACCGTCTCCCTCGGTGTGAGCGAGGGAGACGGGTGAGTGGCTGAGTGAGGAGAGTGTGAGCTCCTCCTCTATTGTAATCTTTCTGTAATCTCCTCATTGGTATAGTGATAACCGGTTACTCTCCCGTGGACGTAGGCATTGGGCCGAACCACGTAAAATATTGTGTCTCCTTGTGTGTGGGTGTGTTTTTCTGCTTGCAATGATTTCTATAAGGTCTTGGGCGGGATCCCAGATCCCAACAAAAACGACACTTAAAAACACACAAGAAGCTAAGTCACTGGCTCACTGGACAAAGTAAGAAGTACCTGGAAAAGCAAGCTTTCAAATCTAGGAATGTCAATGTCCAAAGGCAATTTCATGGTCCCCAAAGACACTCCATCCTCATCTTCCGGTGGCTGGAAAATTCATGTAGCCTGGAGTGAACCAGGAACGACCCAAGATGGGCTCAATTGAAATTGGGAATATTTAGTACATTTGGGCTGGAGGACTTGCCTAACACAAGCATAAGAAGCCATGGCTTCTCCTCAGAATCTGAAGGACTCTGGTTTTTTATATAAATTTTAAATCTATATAAAAAACGAGAGTCCATAAAAATACATTCAATTAAGTATTGGAATAGATAATTCTCATCTCTCATTATTTAAAATTTAAGCCATAAATATGCAAATATTAAGTTTTACACAGATTTAAAACTAGGGTTCCAATCCTTCTCTCTCAATCTCCAATCTCTACACCACTTTCTAGGGTTCCAATGAAGAGATGTGACAACCCTCGCCACTGTTTACTGATAATACCACTGATTACTGCTAAACTGAGACTGAAAATGATTAAGTAACTGATGTGACTAGAATTCTGAATTGACTGCATAAGTGTATTGTTTTAAATGCATATCATCTGTTTGACTGGTAAATGATCTGTTCATGTTTTATACTTGAACTGCAAATTGAAGGCCTTATCGGCGGCCGAATCTGAAATCAATTAATGTCTTATGTTAATTAAAATTTATGTGATTTTATGGTATGTTTAATTGAAATTTGATTTGGCATAATTAAATTAGATTAAATGATGTTAAATTACATTAGTTGGCTTATTTACCAAAATGCCATTAAGTGGACTTTGCTAGACCAGTTGTTTAGTCTTGATTAGCATATGTTGGCATCACTCTTCATCACTCTTTTGAGGCCATAGCCGTGTGAGAGAGAGAGAGAGGGAGAGCAGGAGAAAACTTAGCTCATCAAGAATTTGGCTTGGAGGCTTAGAAGATTTGAAGAATTCATTGCATATTTGAGCTTCTACCTTTGAAATTGAGGACCTAAGGTAGAGAATTCATCTTCTCCATTGTGAATTTGAGTTACTTCTTGCATGGTTCATGGTGAATTAGAGTTTAGAGTCAAGATTTGGTTTAAAATGTTGAATTGAGTAGCAATCCATGCATGTATGTTTACATTCTTGAATTTTGAGGTTATTTTCATAGAATCCTCACATGCAGTCCATATTTGGGTTATAGTTCATGAATTTATCATGGTTTTGAAAGGCTTGGCTCATTTGTTCTTGTATTAGAAGCTTTGAAGTTGATTAAATTCATGCTTGTTGCATGTACATCATGTTCTTGAAGTTATTGTTGGAATTGTGTTTTCTTTGAACTACCTTTGGGCCTTGATTTTGCAAATTGATCTTTGAAACATGTCATATTATGAGTTTTAAAGTGTTTTCTAGAAAATTGGCCCAAAGGGATCGAATTTGAAGCTTTAAAGATTGAGTTTTGTGCTTGGAGACAAATCTGGAAATTCTAGATTTTGGATCCACGCTCGAGTGAGGAACTCCACGCTTGAGCGTACACTCTGAGTTCATGCAGTCCGCTCGAGCGGGGAAAGTAACGCCCGAGCGTGAAATGCGTGTATCCAGTACTTTTCACATGTTGACAGTCCGCTCGAGCGAGATAATGCACGCTCGAGCGAGGACTTGTGTCTCATGCTCGAGCGAAGATCAAGCGCCTATCGAGCGTGAATTTCGTGCATCCAGTACTTTTGCTTGAGTTTACAGTCCGCTCGAGCGGAGAAAGTCACGCTCGAGTGGAGACCTTCACCTGCATGTCCGCTCGAGCGTAGAAAGCCACGCTCGAGCGAGACCCCTGTTTTCTAAAAATTTTGAAAAGTATTTTAAAGCACATTTTTGCATCCTCATTCCATCCTAGGCATTCCTAGGCCTAGTTTAAGGCATCTTAATGAGGATATTGATGTAGAACCACACCGAGTCAAGATAGGGACTAGGTTATTGTTTCCCAAACGTACAGTTTAGTGTGTGTTCATCTTGTAACTGTGTAGGGTTGGCATCCAAGGACGCTCACTAGCCTATCTGTAGCCCAGAACTCTGTGAGTAACAATGCTGTAAAGATATGTTCAATCATGAATATTTTCTGAATTATCAACTGTACTGCTTTCTGAAATGATATTTCTTACTGAATGAATGTTTGTCCTATATGCGAACTCTATTCGTGGCATCCATAGCAATTTACTGTTATTGCTACTGTTACAGAGATCTCTGTCGATTCCCATGTTGGAACCACTACTGTTTACTGATATGATGGCCATCAACTGATTGTTCGGTCTGATAAGACCCACTGTACTGTTTGCTATTGGATGTACCACATATGACTATTATGGTTTATAAATGACTGTTATGGCATGAAATATGAGCCACTAATTGAATGATTGATATACTGTTATAACTGACTGTTTTAAATACTGGAAGAACATCCATTCTTAACCTCTTTACGCATATGTTATTCACTGGGCTTTAGCTCACTGTTTATATATATATGTAGGTGTACAGGCACCGAAACGGAGCTAGGAGCATTGGGTTAAACTCCCTTTTTGTCAAGCCAACCACTGTGCCTCACTTCGAGGTTCCGCGTGTGTCAAGCCAAGGCTGTTTTGGGGTGTTTTAGGTTCACCCTTCTGTTTCTGTTTTGTATAGACTGTATAGACTGGCACTGTACTGTTCTGATAGGGATTAGGTCCCTGTCCTGAATGCCTGTCTATGATGTATGTATATACTGTTTTGCTTATGAATGTGAACATGATTGAAAAAGTCTTTTTGCATACAAACTGTCACAGCTCATTAGACATCGTTTATTACTATTTTGGCTGTCGCCAGCCCCTGTACTCTGTATTACTGTCTTTACTGTTAAGCAGGCCTTCGGTAATCACGGATTACTAGCCGATTACTGCAAATAGAAGAAAAAAAAAAGAGCATTAATGAAATCAAATGGAGCGAAGAAATGAGGAACAATAGCAGCTCAAGAAATCAAGGTAAATGGAACGCAAGTGGTGTAGACGAGATGCTTTACAATGTTTGTGGAAGAAGAAGACTGATACACGCAGCATGGATCGGCATAAATCTTGGGAGGAGATTTGTTAGTTGCCCTAACAGTGGTTATAATCATTTTACCTAGATAGACCCACCCATGTGCGATCGGGCAGTGCAAATCATTCCTAGGCTGTTGAAGAAGTTGAATAATGTAACGCCCTCAAAATTTAACCCATAAATCATACATTCTTGACATGCATAAACTAAAGAGAAATAAACGTATTCCCATTCATCAGAGTTCCAGTCTAAAAATATTACATGTTGAAAACAAAAGAAATGCCCTCCGGGCTTAACTTTCCAAGTGTAGACGCGCCCGCGGAGGGGGACCTCGCTGCTACAGTTCGGACTCGATTTGTATCACGGTTCTTAATCTGAACCAAAGAGTCCAAATCTGGCAAATCGTTTTGAGAAACAGATTTTTGAAAAAGTAGTGCCAAACATGGACTGCTTTGCCAGATACAGAGTCGCCACCTAAATATTTTAAAATGGGGGAATTTAGGAAACCCTGACTCGGTGCCGAAGGCCACATGTCCGTCATCACCGGAGTTGTCTCGGCTCGGGAGCTTGGGTACGATCGGGGAAGGTCAGCTATGAGCACCCCCTTTCGCCCAGTCCGAAGACCGGCCTCTACTAACCATGATATCCGATTTGGAAAACGTTATGTGTTCTTATTCCAATTATTAGCCTAGAATTACTATGTTATGCGCACAGCAAACAAGTATAGACCAAATCGCCCAAATTGGAACAAAACATTTCATGTTTGTTTTGAAAATGGTTTGCTACTCGCAAGTAGGCTAAAATGCAGATTTCAACGAGTTTTTCCAACTCAAACAATCCAACCTTCACCCAAAGATTTGGTTTGGCCCGCGTGCCATATTCCTTGCATTGTAGTTTGCATGCATTCATTGCATCACAC